AATCAGTCACAAGAACGTCGAATCTGAATCACTTGAAAAAACACGGGGGTGCTTAACTTTTTTCCAAGTGTATATATACATAGGGAAAAAAATTAAAATTTTAACGAAAAGTAGGGATTGTTGGTTATTTGTAGAATTGCTATAAGAAGTATCCAAAACAAAATAAATGCTGCAATAAAAAGTATACAAAGAAGAAGACAGTAAATATCCTTCTTTGCATACCACACAACTTTCTAAAAACAATAAGGCACATGAAGATTATAGTCCACCAGGGTGTAAATACTGATTAATTTTCAACAGAACTGTATAGAATTTTGTACACCTAATAGAAATAATTATTTTTTTATTGGATGCCTATTTTAGAACAAGTTTTAAATGTAGGTGTCATAACTAAGCATCTCCATAATTAAAACATTAACATATTTTTAGTCATACAACTTCATCAAGTGCTATAATCTAGTGTGGTGCAGTGATGGAACTGATACAAAAAACACAGTCATTTGTCCAGAATTCAACCTGCACTTGACAAGACATTAATGCTAAGAGGGTCAGTATTCAATAATGGTTTTGAAACTATGGCCACGTGGCTATTCACATTCCAACAAGTGATGTGAGTGAAGGAGAAGTGGTTGAAGCTGGCTGGTATAGCTACTGTTACTTCAGCTGCACTCATATGAGAGTAAATTCATGGTAACCAGACATTTCAGATCATCAGTAAAATGTTGTGCAGAAAATCACAACAAGGAATAGTGTAATACTGCCAGCGTGTCTGCAAAATCAGATGACTGCTTGGGATGGGCAACAGTTATTCCTTATAATATAGACACATAATACACCTATGACAGAGTAACATACGACTGCCTTTAACACTTGAGATACCTTGTATGAAAATTTTGTGATATCATTTGGTTTCTGTAACACTTATGAGAGGCTGATTAGAGCCTAAACTGAGGGAGTGCAGCACTAGAAATGTCTCATCTATATGGATGCCATGTTAGTGCTTGGCTGCAAGTTACTATTCTGCTGTGTAAAATAGTGTTTAAACGGATGAAGATAGAGCAGACTTGATATTAATGTCAGGAAAGTGTGCATTTAAACATAAGCTTGTAGGGTTTCTAGGTCATTTAGTAGGCAGGGGGTAGAACTTACAATGATGATGCAAAGACTGCAATTGTAAAGGACTGGCCCCAGCCTATGACTGAAATTGAAGTAAAAAAATTTTATTATATTATTAGTGTTTTGTAGTCAATTTTTCAAAGATGGCCTCACTGTTTATCAAAACACAATATCACCTTCTTTTTTTTTGGTTAGAAAGTTCATTATATGAGTAGATCATAAGTAAGTGAAACGGCTTATGAAACTTAAGAATTCAGAAAGCATGACTGCATGTTGTATTACAATGTGCATGAGTACAACACACTACAGTGCGAGTTGTTCAAGAGAAGAGTTCAGTATGCCCAGGAAACTCAGGTAGATAAAGTTAACTGATATGGTCTGGGCACTGCCAATCATTTCACTAAATGGGCCAAAGCTGTTCATTGATTGAAGCTTCAGTGTAGTACAGCCTGCCACAAGGGATTTATCCAGCTCTGTTGAATCAAATAATGGAGTTTACTGTCACTTTTATAATGTGTCTACAATTGAAAGGGCAAAGAAATAACAGAGACATCACTTTTCAGATCATTAACTCTTTAACCTGGATTGTTTTCCCAAATGTCAAGAAACTGTCCATTTATTGAATATTCATAGATTGGATACTGGATGGACTGGACGTAAGAGAAATGAGGAGCTTCAAAAGAAGCAAGTGAAAGACCTAGATCTAGCCATGATGCTACTTTTCATACAGGCAAACACAGTACAGGTACTCAAAACATCTGGCACTTGTATGAACAGCTACATGTACAGGATATTGTACTGTATTACTGCTATGTACCACGTTAGTGTGGTTTCCAGCCTGTGATTCAACTAGAAGTACTGGGGTCTCTGAGGCAAAGCATATTTTGCAAGATGTAAGGATTGGAGGGTCAAAGAATACTTTGTATATTGTAGGATGTAAGAAACAGAGGTTATCAGTGTGTATCAATGGTCCTTCTGGCTGCTCTGGTATTGAGATGCTATATAAACATTACTGTGCGAGTTGTTCAGAAGAAGAGTTCAGCATGCCCAGGTAATACAACTAGATAAAGTTAACTGATATGGGTTGGATATTCCCAATGATTTCATTAAGTGGGCTAAAGCTGTTCATTGGTTGAAGCTCCAGTGCAGTCAATCACTGGTAAGTTAGCTGCAGAGCAGATAGCATGACTTGGAGCACCTTGAGAAATCCATACAGATCAAGGAGCAAACTTCAAAAGTCAGTGTGTTGAAGAAAAGAACTTCACCATACCATTTTCAGCTTTGGCTGAATGAGTTCTATAGATAGTCAAGCACAGAACACTAACAGTTGGTTTGACTGTTAATGATCTCTTGCCTAGGAATTCTAATACACCCAGAGGCTTAAAGGATTTTATGGACTTTACTTTCCAAACACTCAGGAGGGACTTCTTTAACATAGGGAGATGTTTACATGAGATACAACCTGTGACTCCTTGTATGTGTGATTTTATATCATATCCACATGAGGCCATATGTCAGGTGTGAAAGGTTTGTACAATCTTTCATGTGTACAGTGACAGAACTGCCCTCTTAGACAGCATAGGAAGTAACTTTGGCTACAAAATATTGAAATGGAAAGGTTCTGTTACATTGTATTTTACCTTTGTTTATATATATTTCATCTTACAAGCAGTAATAGATTTGTTAAACCTTAGTACAGCAGAGACATTACCACAAGGGGTATGTCCAGTTCTGTTGTATTTTACCTTTGTTTATATATATTTCATCTTACAAGCAGTAATAGATTTGTTAAACCTTAGTACAGTAGAGACATTACCACAAGGGGTATGTCCAGTTCTGTTGTATTTTACCTTTGTTTATATATATTTCATCTTACAAGCAGTAATAGATTTGTTAAACCTTAGTACAGCAGAGACATTACCACAAGGGGTATGTCCAGTTCTGTTGAACAAAATAATGGGGTTGACTGTCATTTTTATAATGTGTCCACAACTGAAGGGGAAAAGAAATATCAGAGATATCACTTTCAGACCACAAACTTTTTAACTGCACCTTGTTATCCATAGATTCGCAACCTGCATATATATATTTATGTACATAAATATGTCAATAGTATTGTTTCTATTTGTGAAGTATTATATTTCAATCTTGGAATTATTTTTTTTTTTGTAACAGCATCTTATAACACACAATCACTATTCAAACTAGCTCTACCACTGTATTCTAAGTCTCACTTCTTTAAGTTAAGAATAAAAGATAGAGACAAAATAATGTTATTGACAAAGAGAAGACAGTCTTGAATGTCAGAGAAACTTTTACTAAAACTCTGTTAATTCTAAAGTTTAGCCAGAAAAAATTGGCTTGGTGAAAAATGTAGGTCAAACAAAGGTTACAATCATTAAACTACATGTTTGTTAACCAAACTTGTAACACTCACACCTAAAAAATGTAATCAAGCAATATTTATACTTCAATAAATCATCATATTTTAAATAACACAAGTACTACAGCAAAACATCTGCATTTCCTCTTAAAGTTTCTGTGATATACGAATTAAATTTACTTGTCAGAACCACTTATTATTAAATTCATATATAAATTGTTGCCTGATCATTTAAATTATTTTTTTTCCATGCAAGGATTTTATTTAAACTTTGGCAATCTGATTATTTTAGGTACAGAAATTATTTTACAGTCACTTATGCAAGTATTAGATCATTGTGAAATAAATACATTCTTTATACATTACAGCTAACTTTTCTATAGATGAATTTCATTCATACTCACCATGCAGTCATAAGTTTCATGTAAAAATTGCTCTGTTTAAATTAATTTCTACATCGTATTTTTGAATTTTTTTCTTTGACACACGTTTTAACAAGAAAAAATAAGACAATGATACAAACATGTCAGGAATCATTGTAGTTGGCAACATTTCTATGTCCAAATTAAAAAAATATATATAATCAGTCTTGAAATATAGATTTTGGTATCAAAACGAAGTCATTCAAGTAACTGACATAGAAACATAAATTTCTAGTACTATTAAAGGGTCTGAAAACCTATTTTTCAATTTATGTGGGTGTTTAAACAAAGCAAACATTATATTTTCAGTTAAGAGTTCATACACAGTTTTAATAATATAAGAAAACAATCATTTATACAAGTTTTTCCCAATGGCATATATGAACCATAGCAATTCATATTACGATTTTAAACATTTAGAAAAGAAGGTTTTTGTACAAACTGTTAATTCACTCTTATTAAACATAAAGCACCATTCCCAAAAGTCTGGACAAAAATAACAAAATACAATATAATGTGAAATAATGATGACAAGAAGCACAAAGAACATTCAACATCATATTTACACTGAAAATTTATTAAAATATTAGAAAAATAATACAAGCTATTCATATTATTACACAGTAATGAAATACATATATATCACTTAAGTACATCACAGCGTGAAATATAATTTGTAATCATGAATAGGATATTCGGTTGTAAGAATCAAAAGCGTAAAAATATTTTGTTCAAACTAATTTCAAGTTAGAAAGATAGAAAAAATAAAAACAAATGAAAAAATTGGTGAATTATATCCCACTCTAAATTTTCTAAAAAAAATTAACTTCCAGGATTGGTAAAAGACCAGATAAATTTCTAAAACATATTGCTTAGTTGCCCTTGTTAAGAAAAGACTCACACCACTTCGTACAGAATCAGGAAAGTCCTAATCTTTGAGGTATACAATAAAGCTTACATATTTTGTCTATCAAAATTAAACTTCCATTTTGCTCAGATTATCACTTTATGATTCTCTGTCGTTTAGTAAGATGATAATAAACACCTTTTTTAAGTAGTAATTGTTCATGAGTGCCCTGCTCTACAACTTTCCCACGGTCAATTACAGCTATACAGTCAGCTCCCTGGATTGTTGATAGACGGTGGGCAATGACAAGGCAGGTACGACCTTGTTGTGCTTGGTCCAATGCTTCTTGTACAAGCTTTTAAGGAAGAAAGAAGTTAGTAATGTCAATATCTTTGTTACTGTGAAAATGCTATGATTTATGAATAAATGTTTTCCATTTAAATGATATATATTTGCAATATTATATCTGAATCATAAAAGACTTTTTCTCAAAACATGTCTCATCTTTAAAATAAAGTTTCTCATTCAACATCAAATTTCATTGATCTTGCTATTTAGTACTGTCTCACAGTTGTGATGTTGGATCCTTAGATGGTGAAAATTTTAGTCACTACATGTGGAATAGTTAATGTCAACACTAATCATAACCTTTAACTTTTAATTATTATCAACATCTCAGTATAGATTATACAATGTAACTATGACCAAACTATAATTTTTGAAACCTTTTCACTTTCAGTATCGAGGGCTGATGTTGCCTCATCCAAAAGCAGAATCTTAGGGTTGCGTACAAGAGCTCGGGCAATTGCAATCCTTTGTTTTTGTCCACCTGATAGCTGTGTCCCTCGCTCTCCAACCATTGTATTGTATCCCTGTAACAACAAAAAGTTCCTGAAAGTTGCAGACAGTTAAAATTAATGTTTAAAATGAAAAAGACTACAGAAATAAGTCTGTGAGAAGGAAAAAAAACGTCTCTCTCAACTATTTTTATTGCAGGTTGATATTCAGTAGGTATAAACATAGCAATGTTGTTACACACAACAATAACACTTTTGTTATGTTTATTAGCTCCTATGCTAAAAATCAGATGGCCGATTTAAGGTTTAAATTTATATAAATTGACGATTC